TAATAATTATAATAATTATATTCGAATTTTTTTTCTTTTCACTATCATCATAATTAAATAATTAAATTAATTTCATTTTTCATTAATTTCATTTTTTTATTAAAATCCGAATGAAAAAAATTAACATATTATAAAAATTAACATATTAACAATAACAAATTTAAAAATATATATATAATATATTTAATGTGTGGATTATATAATATGATTATATTAAATATGATTATAAAATGATTAATAAATGATAATGATTATAATGAATTATTTAATAATAATTAAAAATGATTAAATGATTAAAAAAATTCATAAAAAATATATATCAAGACTTGACAATTATTTTTGTCAACTCTCCGATTTTTTTTTTACATAATTTTAAAATAAAGGAAGGTACTATATCAATTTTGGCCTTAAATATATATAAATTCTAATGCAAAGAAAGAAAAGATAGATGGCGCTTTCTGGAATGAATTTTATCTTGTTCACTAATTGTATATTTCGTTTATCGAATTTATGAGAAAATTTCCATGATATCATTACATCAAAACATACATTGAATCATCGAATGGTTGAAGATATTGAGTTGTATCTAATATGTTTTTTTAATTTTATAAACATGAAATAATTAATAAAAATATATAAATTAAAAAAAATACTTACTACAAAATGGTTTGATCGAACCTGTCATCAGATAAACAGATGCATGATAATTTCCTGGCTGAGCATCTAATCCAAGTTTAGGGCAATATTGATTCACGCAATCAAAGCAATTTCCGTTTTGAAACTTTTCCCAAGATAGGCAGGGAACTCCCAAAAATGAGCACTTTGTATTGATACTTTCTATAAAATATTCATAGCTGCGAATATGATTGCAACCAACAAATCTTTTTATTCCTGAAATTAACGATTTTGATAATATTAATTATTTCGATAAAATATATTTCTTGCAATAATATTTAATAATTATTTAATTTAGCAGATTGTCTAAATTTTGATTATTTCATTACAATTTTAATTAGCTTTTATCATTAAAACAAAAAATTAATAAAAATATTGAAAAAGTAATGCACTTTTTAAAAAGAAAACTATTTCATAAAATATTTTCTCTCTCTCTCTCTCTCTCTCTCTCTCTCTCTCTATATATATATATATATATATATATATAT